GTTTCTGCTCTCAGGGCCTTTTCTAATCATCCTTGTAGCGCCAGTTGGGCAAGTCCTGGTGCCGCTCGCGACTGTCTTGACGCGCTTGTAGACCAGTTCCTAACCTTGTGAGCTCGTTTTTCACTCTGTGTCGACAGCGACTTGTACTGATAATCTTTGCAGCGCTGGGTGCCGTCCAGTCATGGAACGCCGTAACACTGGCTCAAGCAACCACGACTCACGAGACATATCATTAGACTACCTCTTGCCTCCATCTCCATGCTAGCGGACAACCACGCTAGCATGCTGTCCAGGCTTTTCCGAGCGCTCACCAGCTGTTTTAGACAATGGCTGCGCGTTCACAGTCCGAGTCCGAGTCTTCCCCCCGCGTTTCTGCTCGCCGCAGTCACTCAGGTCTTGGCGCTCTCAGTTAACGACGCGCTCGCTCGCTCGTCGCCCTGCATGATTAGATTCGGCCAGTCAACGCGTCTGTGTGGCGCCGAGCTCGGGGGACGCTCTCGTTGGAGACATTTACATGCTCTCGTTCACGCACCATGGTCTTCACTCCCCCCGACCCGACATATTCTTTCACCCCGCCATCTTGGGCTAGGCAAATGCACTGTCACCAGGCCCTGGCTGCCGTTGCCCGCTTGCGCCAACCGTCCCACGCTCAACGTGAAGCTCTGCACCCATGCCGATGCTGACGACGAGCGCGTGATGGCAATTTGTCACCCCCGACTATCTGTCACGGCCCCACCTTTTTGCCGCCGCCATTTCCTCCTCCCCTCGACCTCGTCTTCCCACCTGATACGCGTGCCGCTATCATCTCTCGGCGCGATTACTCCCCGCGTCTTCGACCAAAGCACAACGTCGCCATTATGGCCAACTTCGAGTTAGCCTCACGTTGACATCGCAATCAGTTGCGCACAACGCTTGCCCGCCCATCATCCCACATCAAAGCGCCTCAGCCATCCTGGCGTGACATTCACCGCCGTTGTATTGTCGGGCTATCTCCACCAACCCGAGCTCAAGTTTCGCTCGCATTGCACCGGGCGCCATCATCTCCACATTTCCGAGGACACCACCACCATCTGCGTCAACCCACTCGGCGGTCAAGCTGTGGTGGTAAACACATTCCCCGATGCCCACCCTCATTCGTCCTGTCTCTCGCCGCGGCCAACGTTCCCGTCCCAATCTGCATCTCGGCGTCAAAGGCGGGCGGCGACCAAGTCCAGCTGCGTGATGCCCACTTGAATTGAAGTAAGACTCGAGTTTATATTATGATTGTGCTCTTGCTGCATCAGTAAAAGTGCACAAAAGTCTTTCAGGTCTTTCTGGTCTTTGGGCAAGACCAAAAAGATCTGAAAGACCTGAAAGACCCAAAAGACACTGGGTCTTATTCCAGCAGCGTCCCAGTCTTGGAAAAGACCTAAGGTCTTTCTCAAAGATTATGAAAGACCACAATAAAGACCTGCTTTAAGACCTCCAAAGACTCCTAAAGATGCAATGTAAAGAGTAAATAGCAGCAGTAAATTCAATATAGCTAATACAATTTGGTTATTCAACTATGCTTATCCTACATTCCATAGCAGACAGCTGCGGGCCGGCAGGAGGTTTTGACCGCCTAACACGAGCCCTCTGGCCAGCCTGGCCGGAATCTCCTCTGACGACTCGGCGCCGTCTGGATCCCACCGAGCGAGGACGTTGGCTTGGCCGCTTGGGTGCAGAATGTAGTGAACGTGAGCGGCGCGGGAGTGGAGATGTTTTCGATGCTGCGGGTTGAATTGGGAAGGGACGGTGGCGGCGGGAGGCAGGAGGCATTGTGGCGGCCACCATTGGTTCCGCGAAGACCGCATTTGGCAGCACCGGGAGCCCGCCGAGCACGCGGACATCGGCAAAGGGTGGGTTCAGTGAAAAAATCAAACGCAAACACGACACTCACCAAGCGCCGGCACTGAGTCAGCATCCTGCTTCCCTACGCGGTGTTGGGGTTAATGGCAGGGGCAGAGAAGGGGTGCGAGACGCCGAGCGGAGGGACTTCGGCTAGGCTTGCAGTGCAGCTTGAGGCTTGACGGCTTGAGGGTCTTTGACGCGCATTTGAGATGGAAAAGCTTTCATTTTGAAGCCAAAAGGCATTGAGAGTTGAAGAACTTGCACTTTGGGACGCTTGCTGTCGGAATTGAGTCGATAATGGGCGGGAATGGACTTTGGAGGTGGCGGGAGATGGGGGAAAGGAAGAAAGAAAAGCGGCGACCGATCGCCGTCGCTCATCAGCCATCTGTCATTGACGTGTCATCGATGTGACACACATCAGAGAACTTTAGGGCCGTATTTGATCACTGACATATCATGATATTTGTGAACTCAGAACTCAGAAACAATGAAATAAACCTTTTACTATGAATTGTCGGATATGAATGTTGGTTCACTGGATGGTATTCAATATCATTTTCTTACATCTGAAGGGATTTTATTTTGCTAGTCCAAAGATCATATTAGAATAAGACCTAAGACAGCTTTCCAAGACCAAAGATCACACCTCAAAGACTAAAGACTCAAAAGACTTGGTCCCCAAGACCAAAGATCCTCCAAAAAGACTAAAGATTCAAAAGACTTTATGCACCTTTTACTGATGTGATACCTTTCCAGAAGCGCCGCAAGCTGTTCCCTGCCATCCCCTCCCCTCGTTACTCGACATCACGGTCGCACCCCAACGCGCTTTTGCCCGCCAACCACCTTCATATTGCCGCACGTCTTCGACATTCTTGAAATGGCCAAGCCCAACTCGGACATGGGTCTTTGAAGGCTATACGGATTGTGGCCAAGTCCGCCGAGTCGACGAGCGCTCCAGTGCATCCTCCAGCTTTTTCACGCCCAAGTCTCGGAAGCGGCGCTGGACTGTACATCCCGTGGGGTCTTCACCTCCGTCTTTTGTTTTTTGTTACCTTTGCTGTGAAGGGGGAACCACACACGGACACTGCAATAACTGCAGAATGGGAATGGCTACCCAGGACACGCGTTGGAATCCCTTAATTAGCGCGTTTAAGCCCTGAACCAGACACTGACCATTTTCAGCGGCAAAATAAGAATCTAAGAAGGGAACGCTAAGTGCGAATCTGTGAGATTTAGCGTCACGTGACCGCGTCTGGGTGCCGGGAGCCGTGGAGTCCAGTGGGAGCCTGCGGCCGAGGAACAGGAGCGTGTGCGGATGCGGCGCCGGGGAGGAGGAGATCCGGCGGGGATGTATATACAAGAGCTACGCGAATTCCACAGGCTGTCTCCACGAGGCTGAGACGCCGAGTTTGTTCGCCGTTGATCGCTTACTCGACACTGTGCCGAATAGTCTCCCCTGGACTCAATGCTGGATTGTACAAAAATTAATTGTACTTCGTATGACGCGCCTCCGAATCACATTGTCGAGTGATCGCAACCTCTAACCATGAGGGTCCTCCCACTCCCTCTCTCCCTTTCGCTCTCTTCAGCGTCTCCAACTGGAGAGCAGGTTGTTCTGGGCCTCTACCGCGCCCGTTTATCATCCAATAACACAGTCAGCACACTGCTCAACGACGCTACCAAGGCCATTCTCCGCGGCAAGAAGAAACCTACAGCAGGCGTATACGGGGTTTTTTTTAAAAAGATCCCTTGTAATTAGAAGATTAACATTTTTAAAAAACATCAGTGATTTACAAGTTGTCCCCTCATTTGAATAAAATCCACGCTGTCAAACTCCCATCAACATTTTTTTTCATCTTTTTTGGCCTTTCCCCTACTCAGTATTTTCCCCATACTTAAGGAATTTTCCACACGTCAGGTCTGGGGCCTTATAGCTACCACACTGCCCACCCTGACATGGCCTTTCAACTTTTTAAACCTTTTTTTGATCTCTCATTTCCCTATATAAAATCCACCTTTTGGCAGGGGCATAAATTAGAGGCATTTTTTAAAAACATTCACACTGGTAATGAGAAGGCTTTTTTAAAAAAAACCCCGTGTACAGGTGCCTACAGAAGTGGATTCACGACGGCAGAGAGTAAGTATTTCAAGCAGAACGAGCTCTTATGTGCATAGTCCTCTCTTATCTCCACGATACGGAACTTGAATTCGCCCTTGCAGACGAGCTTGTTTCGCACCCCGTGTTCGAGGAGCACCAATTGAGGGTCACAAAGCCAACCGCTCTGTGCGACCCCAGTGTGAACCAAATATCCGGCTACCTGATCATGAGCCTACCTCGATATCGGCGCGCTGAAGACAAGCATTTGTTCTTCTGGTTTTTCGAGTCACGCAACTCTCCCTCTACGGATCCTCTCGTTCTCTGGCTCAATGGCGGACCCGGCTGCTCCAGCTCGACTGGCTTGCTGTTTGAACTGGGCCCATGCTCTATTGCTGACGACGGCAAGAACACGACTTTCAACCCTCACAGCTGGAATTCCAACGCCAACATGATTGTGAGTTCCAAATGCAGCCTCTTCTGGCTGTTTGACAACACATTCAGTTCCTCGACCAGCCTGTCAACGTCGGGTTCTCGTATGCTGAGGACGGCACGACTGTCAACAACAGCCCTCTTGCCGGCAAGGATGTCTATGCATTCCTTGAGCTCTTCCTCCAGCGATTCCCCGAGTACTCCAAGCAACCCTTTCATATCAGTGGCGAGAGCTATGCAGGTTGAACTTACGCAAGTCTTTCGTCTTTTTCTGAAGGTATTATTAACATTGATTCCAGATTCCCAATATCATCATTGCTAGCGTTATCTGGCAAGCCAACAACTTACAGCAGCCCCGAACCCAAGTCTCAAGAAGATCAATCTCGAATCTCTGCTCATTGGCAATGGACAAACCGATCCTTATACTCAGATGGGCACTGTGGCTGAGTATGCCTGTTCCGGGCCTTTCCCCGTCTATGACGACCCTGAAGGACCCCAGTGCACAGCTCTACAGACTACGAAGCAAAGTTCCAACTTGCCAACGGATGCTCCAGTCGTGCTACAACTTGAAGTATAACAAAAATTTACCTGTGTTCCTGCGATGCTTTACTGCAACTCCCAGTTGTATGGCCCGATCATGCAAACGGGTGTCAACGTCTATGACGTACGCAAGAAATGCGACCGCTCCAAGGACGGCGACCTCTGTTACCGGGAGGTCAACTGGATTGAATCATGGATGAACGAGCCAGCCAACAAAGTCGCGCTTGGCGTCGACCCGAGCCGCAACTTTGCCTCGTGCAACATGGAAATCAACCAAGCCTTCCTTTTCCAGGGCGACGGCGGACACAACAGCGCGGAGCTCCTGACGGACCTCGTCAACGGTGGCGTCAGGCTGCTCATATATGCAGGCAACGCGCACATGATGTGTGCAACCTGTACCATGGATAACCCACTCCACGGGCCAGCTTGCGGGGCTCGGTCCGGTCGGCCGGGCGGTACGGCCGGAAATGTTACTTTCGTTACTGTGTTTGATGCCGGGTATGTCTCGATTCTTTTCAAGTGTAAACCTAATCATTCCCAAGACATATGGTTCCGTTGGACCAGCCCGAGGCTGCGCTTGACCTCTTCAGCCGCTGGATCTCCAATTCCCCCTTGTCAGTAACTCACACATAGCATATCATATCTTATTGCAAACTCTTGTACTCCTCACATTTCCAACGACAGACGTGTTCATGTCCAGTTTTGCTTCGTGTCTGAACTGAATCTTGAGTGGCAGCTTTGGGCAACACTCGGCCGGCCACTGCGCATGGCTACCGACGATGTCGGGAACTTAATGCTAAAGTCGGCGTGATTTCCCTTCTGGAGGATATTTCACTTCGGCTGATGCAATTTAAGACCTACTACATTCTCGTCAAATATCCTTCACCACCGTGACAAAACTGTAAAGTAGTTAGCATGAATAACGAGACACGATTGCCTGAAAACTCACTTTCGAGAAAACAGCATCCAGACACAGCTCTAACTCCGACGCCTGCTTGTGCGCCTCGCGTTCCCGCGTCAACGTCGTCGCCCAACAAGAAGGTGATACAGGAACAACTGCAGGTCAATCAGGTATAGTACTCGCAAACATCAAAAGCGACTTACGCGTCGTTGTTCTCCTCGACTCGCAGGCGTGGCGCGCTGCACAAGTAAGACAGTTCGTCCGCAAAATAGGTCTGACGCAAGGTAAACAAATGCAGCATCAAGTCAGGAACGGAAAACTTACCTTGGACAGTGGCGCCGACCATTCCGCCTAAAAACGCGAAAACTCAACGCAATAGTCTAAAGTTCACAACTGTAAAGTTGGTGGAATTGCATAACAAGACATCATGTCCCGGAAACTCACCTTCGCGATATTTTGAGCAATTGCCCCGAATCGAGTCGCTGCAGACTAGCAAACACAGTCAGCATCCACAGCAAGTAGTGACAAGCTCCAGACTCACATGTGCTGGTTCGTTGGGTGAAGCGGGGATGGCGCGGACGAAATGCCTGATGGACGCTGGTCGGCTCACAGTCAACGACGAGAGATGGCGTTAACGAACGGAGTTGGTGGCAGCCATATTGATTCTGGGCGCCTGACGGCGCACCCTTTGCGCTCCCCGACGATGTCGGCAATATTGCCTTACAGTGGCTCGCGCTCCATATCTGTCAAAGCTCTTTAGATGACAGACTCAGATAGTGAATAGCTCACTCACTTCCGCCATGTTTTCGATGCGCCTTACGGCGCATTGCTCGCGTTCGCAATCAATGGAGGCCGCCAGAGGAAGAGAGTCGTTGCCGGGAGCTCGTGAAGTTCAAGTCCAGGCCGGCTTCTTCGTCTCCGGCGGCAAAATCCTGCCAAAAATTGAGTCTTAAAAATGAAGCAGAAAATGCTTACGTAATGGGTAGCTATCCAAACAAATTTAGCGTTGTTTTCACCCATTTGGGCGTGTCTGCCGCGCAAAATGAGCCAGAAAATGGACAGGTCCAAGCCGGAGACCGACCTTGGCGCGAAAAGAAAGAATGTGAGGCGCCTAACGGCGCATGGGTCGCGTCCGCAAACCACAACAGCCTCCAGAGGACGCGGTATGTTGCCACGAGTGCGTGACCTTCAGTCCAGGGCGTTATTCACGCCTCCGGCGGCAAAATCCTGCAAAAAAAGTGACGTTTAAAACGCAAAAAAAGTGTCGCAGAAAGTGCTTACGTAAGCGTAGCAATGCAAGCAAATTCACCATCCATTTGGGGGTGTCTGCCGCGAGAAATGAGCCAGAATTGCAACATAATCAAGGCAGAGACTGACCTTGTTGGCTTGGCAGAAGGATTTCGAGGCCTATGGGGGAGGGCGGGTTCGTTCAGTAAAGGCTCGTGTGTGCTGCCTAATCGGAGCAAGACTGCGTTGAGCTTTCAAAAATGTCATGGATAGCATGAACGAGCAACGCACACCTTATGACAGCAGCGACTATGAGTCCCCAACCAGCCGTCACCCCCTCTAATTGGAACGTGGTGGTGGTGAAGGATGCTGGAAGAAGGGTAAGCACACTCCGTCGTTGTCAATATGTTTTGGCCACGTACCTCGGAACCGAAAAGAAAACCGCCACTCGTTGCTCCACAGTCCCATTCCCACCCGTGCCCATCGACAGCGTTGCCCAGTTCGAAGTTGAAGAACGCGCTGCAGAAGAATTGAGTCAACAAAACAGAGAGGGTATGACTTGAAATCCACACCTCTCAGCCCGATTCGCGTGCGATGAGGCGAGTGCTGGGCTGCAGGAGCGTAAGCAAGCAGGTGTGAGTGCATAGCCGAAAGACGGACTGTGTGTCGTAAGCCCAAGGAAAGATTGTCGACAAGTCACGAATTTTGTGTGACCAATCTCGATTGACTTCCTCCTTGACGCCCAGGCTACATCTGGCAAGCCGGCAAGCACTCAGGCACCATCTCAAACTCACTCGGCCACTCAGTGCCGTCTTCAACTAAGTCTACAGCTACGACAACAACAATCCCGCTTCTTATGTGCCGATTCAAGCCGGAGACGATGCGAGTCTTGCGGTAGCTTGCAGAAACAGGTGAGTTTTAGGCAAGTCATAGCGGACCAACATACTCAATTATCCCCAAAACTGACTGCAATGACGAACTCGGCCCGCAATTTAAATACAGACCAACGCCGACTCCAACAACAACCGCGGTCCACCCGAGCGGATTCAACCCGGACAAGACGGCATTGACGGCGACCAAGGTCTCTTCTAGGCGCGGTCAGCAGCGCAAGAATGCATGACAGCAGCGACAACTTAACAACCTCGACGACTACCCCAGCCAGAAGAGTCTTTAAAAAAGTCGTCAGCACTGTTTGATTCAAATGGAGAGACTTGCCAGAGTCGGAGGAGAGGGCGGGCGACTTTGGAGGTGAAGAAGGACATTCGGAGCTCACTACCGATATGTATGAGAGAGTAGCGCAAAGGACAAAAGATGGATCATGCACACACCTCATCCCTGACTCCCAAGATTTGGCTATATATGTAGGTTTCGAAGACCAAAAACGGCAGAAGCATCACACCACGTGCACATGGTCACTGTCGTGTCGCTTGAGTTTGTACTCAAGGCTCGAGTACAAAAGTCAAGACTTAAGCATCTAAAGCAAGACGCCTATATATCGATAAATCCAAACCCAAAACATCGCCACCTTATTTTCCTCTTGTCAGCATAACTGCCTAAATGGCCTCTTTCGATAACACAATCCGCCCAAACGCTACTTCACTCGTTCTCAAACAGACTTCGCTTTTAAACGCGATCTTCCTGCTCCTCCAATCTATCCCGAAGACTCGGCGAGTTTATTCGCCGATGGGCTTCGTCGCCAACACCGAATCTACAAGTACTTGGAAGATTACGACGACTATTTTCGAGCTACAGTCCGTCTTTTCTTGCCATTTATTGCAGAAATAACCAGATTCAAGGTCAAACCTCCCTCGAATTATAATCCGCTGACTCCTTCGAATGAAGATAATATCATCCAAGCTCTTTCCCAAGAGGACGAGGACTCCGATATCGAAGACACGGCTCAGAGTAGCCCAGTCCCATCTTACACTCAGCCTCTCGACACACCTGAGTGGCGGTCTTCCACAGCAACCCCTTTATCTCATATCACACAAAAAACCTACGCAAGTCCCCGTCGTTCTGGTCCCCGGACAATGGTGTCGACAACTGCTCTTGCGACAAGTGAAGGTGGCTCAGCAAACGTGTCCATATCAACTGGTGGGAGTGTTCTGCAAGCTGAGGCGTCGGGGTCTGGGACCTCTAATGCCTCAGTAAGCATCCCTAGTTCGACACTCGTTCGCCGAGCTCGCCGACCACCTCTTTCTTCTCCTCCAAGAAACATTCTGCCCATTATGGAATATCTGTATCAGTGTTGCAGAGCCGAAATCGACGAGTCAGTGGTGATTTGCCTTCTTTCTGTTTCCTTATGAACTTCCAGCTCCCGTCCTACCCCACTCCTTGACGACAAGGGATTTGTCATTGCGCTTATCACCCAAGGGCCAAATTGCCTTGCTGAGGAGTGGGAAGCTACCTCGGGTCAATTTTCACGCGTCCTGAATCTGCTTGCTCGTTGTTCTGCTTGGGCCAACGGAACTTTACGCTGGGGTATTGGCTTTGCCTGTTTGGAAGGATCAGCCGAACTCTTTCCCGTATGCAGCTTTTCATTTTTTGCCGTTTTCCGGATCACAACTGACTTTATTACCAGCATCCGGTCACCATAGAACCCAGCCCATTATTGACGACAAGGGTCTGCGATATCACAAACCACGACACTCTGAAGCTAGCCTCCGCTTATCAGAATGGTAAGTGTGGCTTGCCCTCAACGTTCATATCCGGAGGGACACTCATCCTTGTCTCTTAGATATCCTTGCGCAATACTTTCCAGATATCTATGCCGTTCTTCGGAGTGCGTTCGATGACCTTGTGGTTTATCAAAAGCAATACGAGCTACAATTCCCGTTCAATTCTACGGTCCTTCCGACATGCGAGCTTCGGTTGGTTGGAGATGGCTCAGACAGGGCTACCAAGGACTGGTTCATTCGTCCTGGGGAGCCGAGTGTTTGCACCGTATACGGTGACTGGAACTCGGAACTGGGGGGACATCTTATTCTTCACGACGACCAACGGCTTATTCCCCTAAAATGCGGAAGCACCTTCGTCATACCCAGTGGTACCCGAGCTTACGGATTTGTACCTGTCCAGAAGGGAGAGCAACAATATCTCTTCTGTCAATACTTCAACGCGTCCGTCCTCCGATGGGTCGAGAAGGGTGGGATGTCGGATATGGAGCTGGAGGATATGGCCATCGTGTATAAGGATGAAGAAGCAATCGAAAAACTGCGGGCATGGAAAAGGAGCCGGAAGCATCGTGCTCATCAGAGTATGAAGCGCTTCACAAAGCTTGAAAACATTCCAGGTGCTTGACTTGAATTCAAGTTGTACATAGTCAATAAACTATTGCTGCCCATATGCTGGAAACGATTCAGTCAACCTTGACATCGGTTTACGGGGAGTATCCGGATGTACAAAGATATTTACAAAGAGTTGTCGATAACAGAAACAAGTTCAAAATTAGGGCAGTCGAAAGAAATTGGATTGAGACACTAAAAGCTACATGCAGAACTCTATTGTACGAGAAAGATTACAGGTATAGAAGTAACTAAGAGACTGGGAAACCGTTGTGGAGGGAGAGGGGATGGGAGCCATTGGTTTGGACATGCGCCGGTGCATAGAGGACATCAACATCCTCCCGGTAGACTTCTTCTTCGACCTTTCTCATGACAGCATCTGGGACCCGCTCATCATGG